TGAGGGTGGGGTAGGTGAAGCACCCACACCTGCCCCCACCCTCATTTAGAAAATTCAGGACACGTTGTACAACAGAACAAGTCCTTTATGAAGTTAGTAGAAAGGCTGTCTGTATTTGCAGCATGAGGTTTGTAAGTCGTCACGTTCTGCTGGCTGAATATTGAATATAATTTCCTGCAGGTCTTGAGATCACACCCAGACCTGGAGGTGCGTGTGTGTCGGTCCGGTTCCTTCCTGTGACCTTTGCTGTTGGAGCTGGATGTTTGCAGAGCCGACCCTCGGTTGTTGTGACGGGCTCAGAGTAAGCAGCGTCTCTCTCCCATGGTCTCCCCAGTCGGGGGATCTGAGGACTTTTGTTTTTTAAATTAATTCCTTGACATTTGAAGTGTTTGTTCTGCTGCTTTGTCTCATGGACATTTGTTTCTGAATGGGGGGGGGGGGGGTGTCTAAAAGATTTTAATTCAAATATTTAGTCGTAGAGTCACATCTCCAATCCAGAAGCGAAGATCCGATGTTTCCAAAGCGTTTCAGATTCTTTAGAACTCATATTTAACGTCACCTTTTAATTATTTTTTCATTGATCGTTTGTGAAGAGGACATGGAGTCACGTCTCTGTGGAAACTTTTCTTTTGGCCTTCAGCCACTCACACGTCTCTGCCTCATTCTGTGATGAGCTCGGGCAAAGTGTGATTTTCAGCCCGAGAAATTAGAGTTTCAATTGAAAGTGACTTCATAGAGTGAGGAGAAAAAGCAAAGTGGCCGACGGGAGATGAGAGGGACCTAAAAGACAGAAGATCTGAGATGATCTTTTCACATGATACACTGATGACAGACGTGGACTGTATTTATGGCTCGATTGCTTTTCTCAGGCGAATGAGGAAAGTGCCGTTTGAGTCTAACGCAGACATTCATTCTGCTTCTCAGGCCTGAAATCTGAAAGCCTTTTCTTCTTTGTGTCTCTGTCTCCCTGCAGATGTTCTGCGGTCTGCTGATGACTCGTCCTCCTCCAGCTGAAATTCAAAGGCACACAAAGTCTTCGTTCCTTTCTGCTCCTGCTCCTGTTCAGCTGCTCGTCTGCAGCTAAACCTCAGTTCCTCCGTGTTCCTGCCTGCCGGGCGTCGCTCCTTTGGCCCGATGGCGTGTTTCCTGGTGTTTCTGCTGGTCCTCCAGGTGCATGCTGCTCCACCTGAGCTCGTTCAGGCAGGACTAACTCCGGGCGTCCATCCAGGACTAGCAGCAAACGTTTCTGAGGATGCAACACCAGCTCCACCTCCGGGAACGAGCAAACGGACTCCACACAGCATCATTATTGGGGTACGCAAAGGGGGTACAAGGGCCCTGTTGGAGATGCTGGACATTCACCCTGAAGTCGCTGTTGCTGCCACCGAGGTGCACTTCTTTGACTGGGACGACAACTACGCCAAGGGCCTGGAGTGGTACCGGCAGCTCATGCCCTACTCGTACCCCCATCAGATCACCGTGGAAAAAACTCCCGGCTACTTTACGTCTGCTCTCGCACCGGAGCGGATCTGCGCCATGAACTCGTCCATAAAACTGCTGCTGATCCTGCGGGACCCGACACAGCGGGTCATCTCGGACTACACCCAGGTGTACTTCAACCGGCTGGAGAACCACAAGCCGGTGCAGGCCATCGAGAACCTGCTGGTGCACAGCGGAGCCCTGAATATCCGCTACAAGGCTATCCAGAGGAGCTTGTACGACGTCCACATGCACAACTGGCTGCACCACTTCCCCCTGGAGCAGATACACATCGTAGACGGGGACGCTCTGATCCGGGACCCTCTGCCAGAGCTCCAGAAGGTGGAGCGCTTCCTGAACCTGCCTCCCAGGATCGTGTCCTCCAACTTCTACTTCAACCAGACGAAAGGGTTTTACTGCATCCGGAGCGACGGGCGCGAGCGGTGCCTTCACGAGTCCAAGGGACGCCCTCACCCGTCGGTTAACGGAACGGTTCTGCAGCAGCTGCGCTCCTTCCTACGAGAACACAACCGGACCTTCTTCAGGCTGGTGAAGCGCACGTTTGACTGGCAATAAGAATAATCCCAGTCTGGACTCCCCTGAGCCGCCACCTGTTTGAAATAAATATAAAAGTGAAGCACTTTACACCCTGAAAGAACCTCTGAGGAGCCTTCTGCCAGTTCTGGTTCAAGACCGGTTCTGCATTGTGTTTTATACACAAACTGTCATTAGAAGAACGAATGAAAACTTTTAGCTTAAATAAACTTTTTTCCACGCTGGAAGCATTTAAAGGAATAATTTGGCCATTTTGAAGTGGAATAAAATGGAAGAGTTATTAACATTTAATATAGTACCTGTGATTGACAGCTCTGTGGACAGACTAATGTTGGAAACGTTCTGACAGAACTGACAAGCTAACGGCTACTTAGAGCCCAAACAACAGAACGAGGGCCAGGGCCTCTGAGCCGATCACTTCTGGGACCGGATCAACTTTATCTTTTAAACAAACACAAAATACTAATATGAGTTTGTTCTACGCTCCTACTTTAACATAGCAGCTAATGTCCATCCATCTTTCTATCCATCAATTCATTCTTCTATCCATCCATCCATCATCCATCCATCCATCATCCATCCATTCATTTACCCATCCATCTATCCTTCCATCATTTCATTCATCTATCCATCTGTCCATCCATCCATCCATCATTCATCAATCCATCCATCCATTCATTCATCTGTCCATCTATCCATCTATCCATCTATCCATCTATCCTTCCATCATTTCATTCATCTATCCATCTGTCCATCCATCATTCATCAATCCATCTATCCTTCCATCATTATCCATCCATCCATCCATCTATCCTTCCTTCCATCTTTCCATCCATCCATCCATCCATCCATCTATCCATCCATCTATCCTTCCTTCCATCTTTCCATCTATCCATCCATCCATCCATCCATCTATCCATCCATCCATCCATTCATTCATCTATCCATCCATCTATCCTTCCTTCCATCCATCCATCCATCCATTCATCCATCCATTCATTCATCTATCCATCCATCTATCCTTACATCCATCCATTCTTACATCTATCCTTCCATCCATTCATTATCTTTACTCTTTTTTTTTTTTGGGTCATGGGGGTCACTAGTGCCCATGTCCAGCCATCACTGTGCCAGAGGTGGGGGACACCTGGACAGGTCTCTGTCCATCACAGGGACACCTAGGGACAGTTTAGAGTTACCATCAGTCCAACATGCATGTTTTTGGTCTGTGGGAGGAAACTGGAGTACACGGAGAAAACCCACGCAGCACGGAGAGAACATGCAAACTCCACCTAGAAAGGCCCCTTGCAGGGATTTGAACTGACGACCTTCTGGCTGAGTGGCGACATCTCTAGCAACTGAGCTACCGTGCCGCCTCCAGCTAAATTCTGAAGCATGACAAAAGAATGATAAAACTGTAAACCTATCAGAGATTAGGCTAAAGTTTGTCACAGTTTACTTTTTAAATTAACCATTTCTGCACAAACCACAAGTTGATTAGAACTTTTTGTGTTTAATTTAAAAATTAACATTTATTTCATGAACCGAGAGGGGAAACGTTAAAATACAGTTAATACCAAGTGACGCTGCAACAAACTCATAAATCTGTACAAACACTTGACGTCTCCAAATGACTCACCACATGACAAGTTTCACTACAAAGCTTTGGTTTAAAATATATGCACACCTTCATAACTTTAGTTTTGAAATACCAAACTCTAACTTTGAGCATTTGTAAAGGTGTATAAAAGTTATTATAAGGCTGAGAAATGAGCAAATAAAAAAGAAATACTCGAGTGAATCTTGCCAAATAGTGAACCTGCTTCAGTTTGAAGAAAGTTTCATGAATAACTGCTTTATTAAGAGTTTACAAACTCATAAATAACCGTTTTATAAAGCATTAATAAACCTTTATTCATTCATTCAACCTTTATTTATACAGTTTGGTGTCACGGAGTCATGAGGACTCATTTACAAGAGAGATCTGTTTTAGACGAAACCACCAATAAACAATCATAAACTGAAAATAAGAGTTTTAAATCAAGGTGCCATATAAAACCAGATAAAATACTAAAAACAAGAACATATTTGCTTTCATGAAGCCGTCCTTAATTAGAACAGGTCCCACTGTTTCTGTAAACTTCTACAGTTATTTCCAAGTGTAACCAGCTGCAGCAGCAGCAGCTAGCTTTAGCACCTTTGCGGACTGGGGGCTCATCAACGGACGTTTGTTCTACAGAAAAACTGAAGTGAAGGAGACGATGATGAGAAGGTTTAATGAGAGGGTTTGAATGAACGCCGGTGGTCCAGACTGCACTGGTTAATACTTCAATTAACATTAAATAAGAGTAAGGACTTGTCTTTAAGAGCAGGTTTTACTGTCCTGAATGGTTAAAATCCCACCACAGTTTATTAAAAGTCCATGATTATTGCTTTTATGTTGCCATGACTTTTACATGTCACGCTTATTTTGACAAAAAATATTTTGAAATGTCTTCAGGAAGTGCCCCAAGCTGCACTGGAAGTGCTACAGCTAGCTGCTACAGCTGATCTTTGCACTGACAGAGATGGAAAGTTTTATGAAATAAAGCTGGATTAAGATTTAGATCTTATTTAAATTAAACGTTAGCTTGTTATTACAGTCAGAATTAAACTTTATTTCATTTTATTCCATGCAAATGCTGTTCTTTAAACCCCTTTCAATCAGGAAGTGCTACAGCTAGCTGCTGCAGCCTGCAAACAGCCAAAGAGGTTACCTTGAAATGAAAAACTGATTAAAAACTGTAAAACAGTTTTCTCATGAATCGTCTTGCTGTAAGACGAGAGCAACATTCAGACTAGCCATGAGCTCATCAGTCCTGTCAGATTTAAACTCTGTTCCTCCAAACTGGGTCATTCATACAGCTATCCACAACAGGTTAGACACTGTTGGTTCAAATGTTCCCACAGGACCCTGCTTCAGAAAGGCTGAACTATCCCTTTAGTGTGTCGACCTGCAGTGAGATCATGTTAATAAACCAGATGATTCTTCTCCTCTTTCATGTTTGATATTCTTCTTGTTCTTATTAATAAACGGTTCAAAACGTTCACGTCTCTTTTCCATCACAAGCGCTCCAGTTTTTATTCAAGACGAGAAGAAAATTAAAAATGAGCCTCAGATTTGATGAGGAGCGAAACGGGCCCTGCAGCTCCGGCCCAACAGGGCCCAAACCTCCACAGTCAGCAATCTTCGGCTGCTTCGGCTGCTTCAGCTGCTCTCTCCAACAGTTTGCTCAGGTGTTAACTGCGGTGGATGAATGATGGACCGAACAGGCCTGTAAATTATTTACACTTGATACTGTATCCGTGCAGATGCTGTTCTACGCACGTCCCTGTCCTGAAAGGCAGTTTTCCCAGAAACAGCTTGTCGCCTGAACACAACAAATCGAGCCGGCTCGTGTTTCTTTCATCGATTCGACTTTAAACAGCAGCCAAAGCTACAGCTCCACTGGGAGCTGATGTTCATGTGATCTCCTGTGCTCTGTCTGCTGGAATAAGCTCTCGCAGCCTCCCGAGGCAACCAGTCATGATGCTGGAGCACAACATGGGGGGCGGGGAAATGTGCTGAATATTTACATGCAGTTCAGCCGGGTCACCTGGGGCTTGGGATTATAATTAGACTGGAACGTTAGACGTGCAGGTGAAGGTGATCTGCTGATGGAGCTTTAAGTTGCTCGAGGACTTTTCTCTCCTCTGCTCACCAGGGGGCACCTGAACCCACGTGCTGACCCACGAGCTGCATCTTCTCCCTCCTGTGCACACAGAGGTGAAGGTTCTGGGTCAGGATGTGTTCCTGCTCATCTGGAAAACAACACACAGTTCCCAGAGTGTGTGTTGACTACGCTAAGTGTTTGTCTGAAACAGGTGGAGCAGAAGGTCAAGATGTTTACCTCCTAAACAGCTGCACACGTGCACAGTCAGCAGATTAGTTCATGTTGGGTTGAAGAGCTGCAGACTGGATCTCTACCTGCTGGCTTTACTACAGTTATTAGCTTTAAATAGTTCTGTTTGAATTAGTTTTTAATGTTTGAAATGTATTTTTCATGGGTTTTATAGATTATAATGAATTATTAAAATGGTTGTGACCTACTACAGAAAAATGAATGTTCCTTTAGGTCTGAAAGTTGATTCTTAGCTTGAAGCTTGAGTCAAAACTAACTTTGTTAATTTTGATGAATAAATATGTTGCTGTCAATGCAGCCAAATGTTCTGACATTTTGAAGTGAGGCGCTACAGACAGTCAACATCTTACCTGCTGTAGATGGTGCCTCGATTTACAGGGCTGGTGTGATCTTATAGCAGTTCATGTGAATCCTATTTTACAAGCGTTTTCATAATTTCATCCATCCATCCATTATCTTTACCTGCTTCTTCCTTTTCAGGCCGCGGGGGGGTTTCATAGTTATTTATCCATGAATATTTACAAACATAAATAGCAGTGGTAGCTAGCTGTAGCTCTTCCTGTGCAGCAATGGTTCAATTCAGGCAAGAATTTAATATTTTTTCTGTGAACTTGAAAGTGGTCTGTTCAACTGGTGGCCCGCAGACCACTTCCAGCCTGCGGGTGACTTCAGTCCGGCCCTCCAATGAAAAAAATATAAATAAATAAAAATTATATATATCATAGATGGATGTATGGTTGGATGATGGATGGATGGATTATGGATGGATGTATGGTTGGATGATGGATGGATGGATCATGGATGGCTGGATGGATTATGGATGGATGTTGGATGATGGATGGATGGATGGATTATGGATGGATGGATGGATGGATGGATGGTTGGATGATGGATGGATGGATCATGGATGGCTGGATGGATTATGGATGGATGGTTGGATGATGATGGATGGATGGATCATGGATGGATAGATGATTGGTTAATGATGGATGGATCATGGATGGCTGGATGGATTATGGATGGATGGATGGTTGGATGATGAATGGATGGATCATGGATGGCTGGATGGATTATGGATGGATGGTTGGATGATGGATGGATGGATCATGGATGGCTGGATGGATTATGGATGGATGGATGGTTGGATGATGGATGGATGGATCATGGATGACTGGATGGATTAT